GTGGCAGGTGTCTGGGAGGTCCTGCAGGACAGGGCAGGGTAGGACAGGGCAGGGCGCTTCGCTTTCCTCCCTTGGAAGTGGCACCGGCTCATGGTGCCTCTGCACCTGTTATCTAATTACCTTTAAGCTTTACTAACCAGGCACGTTCTGACCGGGGCAGACTGGAGGTCAGCTATTTTAAAACCTGTGGTTTGTTGCAGAGAGCAGTGCAGCGAGGAGGCATGCAGAGGGGCAGCCTGTGGTGATCCTTCTAGGCTGGGCAGGCTGCCAGGACAAATACCTGGCCAAGTACAGCGCAATCTACAGCCAGAGGGTGAGTAGCTTGTCTGTGTTTCCATGTATGTTTCATGACTCGATGGTCTTTGAGGTCTCTTCCAACCCAGTTGATTCTGTGATTCTATGACACTGTCACACAGACGTCTGAGAAACTGCCTCTTCTGCATATTCAGAAAGTCACTCTGAAACCTCTCTTGGTCTGCAGAGTCATGGGGAGTGAGTGGTGAGTTATCCTGTCATTGAAAGCTCCTTGTCTCTCTGAGCCTGGGCAGTATTATCTAACAGCTGCTGATGTTAACCTTTGTGTGTGCAGCTGAGGCAAAAGCACTTCCTTGGGGAAACTTTCTGCTGTTGTGTGAATCACTGAGGTATTTTGAGGCTTTAAAATTTAGGGGATTATTCAGGAGTGATGTGAATTGTGTTAATTTTCCTGACAGGTAAACACTATGTGTTTACTGCTTGCTGATGGGACCCAGCACAGCCTTGGTGAGGTCAGGCTGGGCACTGGCAGGGCACACTGGCATCTGTTGCCCCTTTGGCTCTTCCTTCCTGGGAAAATAATTCAACTAAATGTAGTAATCCAAATGAATTATATCCTGTCTGTGGAGCAGGCATCCTGTGATGGCCATACCTGCTCACTAGGAGTTCCTTGTGTTTGAACTAGAGACGTGTGTCCTGCTGCCAGTTCTCTAAGTTGGGATATTTTCCTTTCTAATGCTGTATTTTGCTGGAATGACCCTGGCTTGTGGCATGCTACGTGCACTGAAACATTGGAATTTTTTTTGCTTGGTCAGGATACAAGGAATCTTGTATTTATCCAAATCTGTTTCAACTATAGGTGGTAAAGTTTGTACATTAACAAGTCTATTGTTAATGTGTAATCCAGTGCAAGAGTCATTAATTGGCTTGATCCAGTGAAGAATTAATTGTTAAGTGGCTGTTGTGGCTGAGAGATGCTGCTGAGCAGATGAGGAGCATGTTACAGGGCAGCATGACAACTTCCTTGAAAATGCTTTTCTATCAGAAAGATCATAGAAATAGGAAAGGAGAGAAAGGGTTTTCTTAGCTCCCCAAGAGGAAGTGGCAGTAACCATGGCAAGACGGTAGAGAAGACTTTGACTTAAGAACTTGGTATCCTTGTCTTCCTTGTTCACTGTTTAGGGAGCTTGGGGCAGGAGAGCTGCCTTGGTGGCTTTGCCTTGTGTTTGTCAGTGTGTAGTGTCAGTGAGCTTAGGTGATAAAAAAGACCTAAAGCTTTCACAAATGTAGTTCCATCTGCTCTATTTAGAAACTCCTTCATGATCTTGTTTCTGAATCTGTACCTAAATGTAAAGCCTTAAGTGTAAAAGCTTTTGCTCAGGAGTTCTGAGTCTCTGAGCCTTTGCACAGCTGGAGCATTTCAGGAACATTTACAGAAATCATGCCAGTGTTGATTGTGGGTAAGCCTTGTGAGACTGCTGCAAACAAGTGCTATCCAAGGAGAGGAAGCAGTTCCTCCTCCTTCTTGTATTTGTTTCAATGTCATGAGCTAGTTGTGTACCAGAGCTGCTCTTACCAAAGTGACTGATACTGAAGGTCTGTCAACCGGGGAGATGGTTTTCTTCTCCTAGGTGAGGACTAACACTGATAAAAACTTGGGTTGCAGTGTCCCCTGGGGCTGTGCCAGTTAGTGCAAGGGCCTCAAACATCCCCAGAGCCAGACCTTTGCCACTGCAGAGACCTCTTCACAGTACTGTGTGCTGTTATGGTTAATGTAATCCTCTTCATATCAGTGCCTTGCTGCTAACATTAAAGACTTTCTTCTGGCCCTGTGTTTTCTGTTAGAAACCTGTCCCAAATTTTCATGTTCTTTGTGTACTGATGATTTCCTACTCTGTGTAATTTACAGCACAGCCTAAATGTGTTTGGGCTTTCTTTCTGTTCTTAGGGGTGCACCGTTATACGCTACACAGCGCCATGGAGGATGATATTCTTCTCTGAGACCTTTGGCATCAGATCCCTCCAGACCCCAGCCAGGCAACTGCTGGAGCTGCTCTTTGACTACAGCATTGAGAACAGACCGGTTCTTTTCCATGTGTTTAGCAATGGTGGTGTCATGCTGTACCGTTACATCCTTGAGGCGCTCCACACCCGCACGCCGTTTCAGAACCTCAGGGTAGCAGGCACCATTTTCGATAGCGCCCCTGGCAGAAGAAACTTGATAGGAGCCCTTCGTGCCCTGGCAACTGTCCTGGCCTCCATGAATGTGCTGCTCAAGTATTTCCTCTTATTCGCTTTTGCCAGCACAGCTGTGGTGCTGCGGATCCTGCTGTACCCGCTGACCCGCTTCATCCACGAGAGCCATTACGATGCCCTGCTGAGAGCACCCTCACGGTGGCCTGAGCTTTACCTCTATTCCCAAGCCGATGCCATCATCAAGGCCAGCGAGGTGAAGCACATGGCTGATGCCAGGCAGCAGCTCGGTGTCCCCGTGAGAGCTGTGGACTTCTCGGATTCGGCTCACGTCAGCCACATGCGAGTGTATCCCACCCGTTACAGCAGCCTCTGCACAACGTTCCTGTCTGACTGTGTTGGGGGCTCACCCCCTTAGTGGTGTAATGATCTTCAGTGTTTGCCTCTGCTTTGCTCAGCTTGTGTGGGAAATGTCACCCCCTTTCCCTCTGTGTCTTTGAAGGGAGGAAAGTAGAGACTTGTTTATTTGGTTTGAGTTTTTTTTCCCCACTGTCCACAAGTCTGAAAGCCTCCAACTTGGCCTTTGGGCCAGCCGTGCTAGAGCAGAAAGTAGATAGGGATTAATTTAAGGTTCTGAAGGTGAATTCCTGTTATGGTTCATGTTGATGTGCTTTACCAAGGTGTCACAGGCTAGAATCTCCCACAGAGTGTTACTAGTTTCTTTCTGTCTCTTCTTGTTCTCTGCTTTCCGTGTCGTCTCCTTGTTCCTGATGTCCAGTGTGCATGTTCTGTTGCTTGTACTGATTTAACAATACAGCTCTTCCATGTCTTTGTTGTGGGTTTTTTTCTCTCTGCCATTGCTTTTAATTGCAGTGATCAAACGGAGCTAAGTCTGTGGGACTTTTCATTCTCTCGGTGCATCCCAGCTCTTGTTGTACTCCTTGCTGCAGATTGGGCCCAGAAACCAAGTGCAAGGCCTGGAAAAGGTGTGTGCAGGGCAGTTATCACCAGACCATCAGCTGATTCAATTAAACAGCTGAGACAGAACAGCCAAAGCTCCCTTGATGGGAGCTCAAATGTTTGTGATAAATTCTGTGTTCTTCAACTCAAAGGTTTAAGTTAACCTTTTTGAATGTGCCTTGTGTTTTGTTTCTCTTCCTTCCAGTCTCTGTGTTCCACTGAGTAGTTTTGCTTTCTTCAAGAACTGCTCATTTGTTCTTATGTGTCTTTGAGCAGCCTATGTTGTGCTTCTGGAAATGCAGGGAAACTTCTGGGTTACAGCTGTGCAAGACCTCAGAAATGGAAAGGTGGATCTATGGAGGAAAATGGAAGTATCTCATGGAACTATGATTTATACTGGATGGTTCTTAAATCATTTCCAGCCCACAAGTGACTATGAAATTCCATGTTTTTCTTCATAATCCTCTCTTCAGGTGATCAGTCTTTGCAGTCCGTGCAGCTTGTACTAGTAATACAAGAAAGTCCTTCCACCTAATGAAAAAGTAGCTCACTGCACTGCACTTCAGCCATGTTTGGTTTTAGGTTTTGTTGTCTGTTTGGGGGGCAAGTGGGGCTGAAGACAGAGGGAGCCTGCTAATACGTTTATACAGCATTGCAAGCCGATTAGTGATGTGGTGAACGGGATTAGCTGATTTTAAATCACCAGGAAGAGGCTCTGGAGGGCTGTGACATGGGCCTGTTTGAACAAGGAGATGCCCTCAAGACATCAGCACCTAAAAAGCATGAGCAGTTACAGGTGACTAGTGTGGCATCGCTCAGCAGAATAACCCCATAATGGATGTGGTTTGAGAGAGTGGCCTGGGCTCTACAGGATAGGTCTGAAGTAATTAACTGAAAAGGAGCTGATGGCTTGCTTTGTCTTTGATTTATTTAAAGTGAAAACTGTGTCCATGCCCAGGAGCCCTTGTTGCTCGGGATCCAGTCTTTCATAGGTGTGATCCCAGTTTCAGCTTCCACTGTGACGATGTGCTGTGAGGGCTGCCTGGGCTGTGAGGGCTACCTGGTGGTAAGAGCCTTCAGCCTTCCCCTTTTCACATGGAGAAATTCTTGCTTCTGGGGTTTGGACCTGTGAAATCCAGACATGGTCCCTATCTCCAGAACGCCCATCAGAGATCTCCCAGCTTTTTTAAGCAGGTCCTTGGTTTGTGCTGTCAGTGCCTTGACTCCTGAGCTGTGATCCGTTTGCCTGCCTTCCCAGAGAGCTGGGCTGGGTCTTCTGAGCATCCAGCCTGTTTGGGGCACTGGGAACTCTCTTAGGGAGCAGAGGTGATAAAGGCTATTTAACTAGCGCTTGCCCTCACACTGCTTTCTACAGGTTCAGTATTTACAGAACAGTTAAACACTTCATAATATACACCTCTGAATTAATACAGTTGTTCCTGGGAAGCTGCTGTTCCTGTTTATTGCTGTGGGTTTTGAACTTCTCCTATTTAAGGACTTGGGCTGTTGTGGAACATGGCTGGCAGGAGCTGGAGCTAAACCCTCTGACCCTTAGTGATGAGGTGGTGAAGCTTCCTCTGGGAAGAGCTTCACACGTCAGCTACACATTTCAACCCCAGCTTCACCTCCCCACTGTGGGATTGCTGCTTGTCCAGCTCAGCCCTACTTCCCCACTTCCCACAGTGATAGACAGGGATGCTGCCTGATGGAGATCCACAGGCAGAAGTGCTGTGAGCTTCACAAACAGGAATCTGCTCACAGGCATTTCCACTGCTGCAAAACTGACTTGAAATTTGGGGGTAATTTGTGTGCACACCTCTCTGAGAGCAGGGTGATCTCAGGCAAGTCAGTGACTTGCAGCACCGATCTTCTGGCTGGGATTTGTTTTCCAAGTCTCCGCAAGTTTCAGTCCCAGTTGTGTGAAACGCACTGTGTGATATGTTGCCCTCTGCTTTCCTATGCTGCGTGTGCTCGCCCCCACCTTCCTGCCCTCTGTGTTGCTGTGGCTTGTTATTTGAAACAGAAGGTTAATAATGTGGAGCCTGAAGGCACATGACTGAGAACTGGGCCGAGCACTACTGGATTTACAAAAACCCAGCCTCAGACCCTTAATCCTTGCTAAACTGTCATGGTTTGATGCATCCGGTGTTCCTAAAGAGCTTCAGCCTGAACACTGAAAGCCCAGAGGTTGCGATACCTTGGCAAATCCAAGTAAATCTCTAAGACGAGCTATGGGAGGGGTGTTGTGGATCTGTTCTTTGGGAAGAAAAATGCAGTGTTCCTGAGCTTGCCTCCTGGGTAGGGAACGGAGTGTGGCCTAGAGCTTGTTTTCCTGTGGTCCAGCCCTCGGTTGCAGACCATGGAGCCGTGTGGGTGTAACACCAGTGGTGGTGGGAGAAGAGGATGCCCAGGAGCCAGCTGCTGCTATTGACATTTCCCAGCTTGGTACATTTTACAGAAGCAAAATTAACTGTGCCTCAGCCACAAAATCCATTTGAGAGTGTTTTCCATGAGGGATCTGGCTCCTGGCTCACTCCCCTGTGCTGCTTCCTCTCCGCTGCCAGTGGTGATGTTACAGGAAGACTTTGAAAAAGACCCACGTAGTGGTGAGGGTGGTGGTGTGTCTGGGCTGGAGGGCACTTAGCTGCTGCTGACAGGGGTGGGAGGGTGTCCCTGCAGCACTGGGAGAGGCTGTGGTGGGGACCTGGGCAGGCCAGGGTTGGGATCCAGCCCAGCCAGGGTTCAGGTTTTGGAGCTGGGGGGAGCATGTAATTCAAACCAGGCCCCCAGGCAAAGACTGACCTGTGCCCACACCTCATAAAGGTGTTTCAAAGGTGTGTGGCCTGAGGCCCCATCTTTGTGCTGTCGGGATGTTGCTGGTGTGTATGTGAAGTGCTGCTTTCACTGAAGGAAAAGTGTGAACGGCCCGAGATGGAACCAAGCGACCCAACCCGGTGTGCTGCTTCCTAGAAGGTGAAGGAGGGAGGCGCGAGGCTGGTCTCCATCGCCCGCGGAGGTGTTGGAGGAGGAGCAGGCAGAGGACGGCTGTGCTCACCTCCGTGGGAGCTCGGGCCGGGCCGGAGCAGTCTCCACGAGGTGGCAGCAGGTCCTCTCTTTCCTGCGTGGAGGGATTTCCAGTCTGGAAGACAGCTGAACACATCCTGGAGAAGACCCCAACATCTGCATCTCCTGCAAAAAGTCTCCTCTTAAGGCAAGGAAAAAGGCCATCAAGAACTAACTCAAATGACAAGAAGTAGAGATTGTGAGTTAATACAGATCAGCACCTATCCCTAGAGCTGCCTACTCCTGGAATTTGTACTAGATCCCATTTCTTAGCTTTAACTGAACGTTAAAACCAAAAGTCTAATGTCAGGAATAGCTTTACTGCCCTTCCCATCCTGGCAGGCCAGGTCACACCACTTCCCTCTTCATCACCCAGGACGGGCTGTTTGGTTTTTAAGTGAATCTGTGCAATATTGTGGTTGGGCAGACCATGGTTCAACTTCTGGAAAGCTTCCAAACTAGGACTGTGGAGCTCCCTTGGGTTCCCTGTATTCCTCTAGCCCTGGGGCAGAAGCTGAGCTTAGCACTGCTCTGCAGAAAGGCTGGTGGAACTCCCCAAAAGACAGGGCTGGGGCCTTGGGGGGCAGTTAGGAAACAGGATAGCAAAAATGGGGGCCACAGCCACCATTTGAACACCCTGTCCCCCAAATCCCCTCCTTCAGCACACCCTATATACAGCTCCTGCACCCAGCCTGGGGAATGGGCAAGGGATGCAGGGTGCTCTGTACAGGTGCTCACTCTGCCTGCCCAGCATGCCCCCATCCCCTTCCCTTTGAACTTGACCCCTTAGCCCCCCATTTCTGCATCCTCACGTGTCTGCAAACCCACCCCAGTACTGCTGGCCAGAGATACGCTGTGTGGGCAGGGCTGGGGTGGGCAGAGGTGTGCGTGGCATCCTTTGGCC